CGAAGAAGAGTAATTTTTTTCAACCTGAAAAATCCTTACCAAAAAAAAAAAAAAAAAATTGCTTTTTTTTCAACATAAAATCCTAAATGTTATCATGACAGTTGACATTGTCATAGCTTCTTCCTTATACCAAATGTTGTCACGATGTTGTCATGGTTTTTTCCTTATTCTTTTTTTTTTTTCTAATGTAAGCTTACTAGCAATCATATACAATCGACTCAAGATTTAACAACATTAACTTAGGAGATCAATTCTTATCGAAATGGATAGAATAGATTTTGAGATATAAATTCAATTTCAAGAAAAACTTATTAATTATCGATTCCAATAAATTTATATCATTTTTTTGCTTGGAATTTACATATTTATAAAGGGTTATTTTGGCAATTCGATATTGCTTGGAAGTTTTAAATTATCTAATTTTTTCCTACCTTAAAATATTAGATGAAAATTGAAGGAAGATTAATATGATTGAAATAATCATCTCATTCAAATGACCAACTATCGTCATCTCAAATGACCATCACATTTAGATGACCATCGTCATCTTTATTATTTTTTTTTCTTCATTTTTTTTTTATTTTTTTCTCTTACAGTATTATCAGCGACTTTTGCATTAATAGCCAAATTTATGCTTTTATTATATCTTTTTCAAATCTAAATATAAGCTTCCGATTCTATGTATTAAGCATTTGTTAGAATTTTTTTTTTTTAATAATGCTAATTGTATATTCTGTAGTTATAGCATTCGTGCCAAAATATTCTTTGGCTAATTTTTTCTGATTTAGAATTTAGAATTCACGGGAATGAGATGCTAAATAATCTTTACAATGATTTTATTGAGGTAATAAAATTGGATCTTTTGAGAGGAAAGGAAAAAAAAAAAAGACAATCGACAATACTCGTCGAATAAATCTCGACTTTTAAAAATTTGGCTAATTTAAATTTGCCAACAAATATGTGACCAGTTAGCTCCTATTGGCTTTGATTAAATAATGCATCATAAATGAACCTTTTCACGATTAAGTGGACGTCACGAAGAAATGACGAAGGAGACAATGTAGCCTTTTAAACTCTTCCTAATGCATATATCATTTAGCCCAGTAAATTACCTGAAAACTGTGTAAATATTCTGATTCCGGAAAACTCTGCCATACTCAGCCGGTTTTTTTCTTCCCATTATTTCGATTTTGATCTCAAAAATTTCTACAATATTTTATACTTATTACACTGCAAGTTTGACGTTTCACAATACTGCCTGCGATGCTTGTTAACTTATGTGACAAATGTGACAAGTTAAATTAATCTTTTAATATATCTCAAAGTTATAAAAAGCTTCATTTGCGTAGTTTCGTTTATGACATCACATGACTATTTGATGACATTCATCCGGAAATGCATCTGCAACAAGTTTATTCCGGTCATAATTTTCGCATGCATTCAACAATCGGTGTGAATCTTCCCGAAAATTCCATAAATTTCCGGATTTTTCTAAGATTTTCGAAATCAAATAATCCATTAATCACTCACCTAGAGCTAAAACTGGCACAATTTCAGGTAAACAGCAGTGAAAATATCCGCAAATTGGATCCCGGATTTTATCCCGGAATAAATCGGATTTTATTTCCCAATAAGCTAAGCCAGGCTACAAACATCCATTATGCTCAAGCGAAAATTTGTAACTTCGAGAAAGCACAATACAGTTCGCATGTACGCTTCGTTCTGTCAAGCCTATTCCGGTTCCGGAATGGTCCCTACTATATCTGGTGTTCACTCTCCCAGTACTGATCACTATTTTGACATTATCTCATTGTTTATTGCTACAAATATTCCATTTATCATTGAAAAAGAAAAAACAGGTTAGAAGTTAAAGAAGTTTTGCCCGCTTATTCTAATCACCGGAATTAAATCCGAATTAAGGTAGAAAGATTCGTAGCAAATTGAACTTAAACCTGACAAAAGCGCCATTTAGCTCACTGTTTGCTATCTTATCTTTGTCTTTGAATCACTTTTTTTTTTTTTCTACGTTTATAGGCTTTTTATTGTCCTTTTTTTTTTTTAAGCTTAGTATTATCATTTCATCTCTTTCAGCTTACTCTCAAAGATTTACTTCAAACTAATTAATCATCTATCAAACTATTTCAATTATACATCTTTTTAAGGATATTTTATTGAAGATGTGTTGTCGTTTATCAATTTGATAAATTAAGTTATCAAATCATTCTTCTTTCTTTTTCAGGCTTTGAAAAGATATAAATGGAAATGAAGAGAAAAGAAAAGAAGACTGCAAACTGTGCCATAATATGTCCATACTCTGAGGATAATTCTCATGTGATTCCTGTTTGCGACATGTTATTACATTTGGCTAAATGTCGTCGTTTATACTACAAACGAAATGGTATTAAGACAGAATTAAAAAGGTAAAATGATAGTTGAAAAAAAAAAAAATTAATGCCATTTTTGTTTATATTTGCATAAAGTAATTTTTTCAGATGTAAATATAATGGTTGTCATTATATTCTTGCTCCGGAAATGATGTTACATGAATTAACCTGTCATAGCAGAATGCTATATGAGGAATGTAAACGAAAAATGAAATATCCACCTGTATCATTTCAAATTACCACTTCTTCCACAAATTTAAACGAATTATTACAAGGAATGGATTCAGAATCAGTTGATCATCCTGATCTGATGACATTTGATTAATCAAAAAATTAATCTCTTCCATAAGATATTTCCACAAAATTCATCAATAAACTTTTTTTTTGAGCTAGAAGTTTTACATATATTTATTTGTTAGAGAATTTTGAATGTATTGTATTGCTTTAGCATGAAATAATTCACTATCATTCATTTATTCGTCACATATCATTAATGTATTATCAATGATTACTTATCAATGCTTTTTATCAGTGATTACTTATCAGTGCTTTCTGATCATTTCTTATTTTCGCTTTGTAGATTGGAATAATATGATTGATTCGTTGGAAGAATTAATTTATATTTAAGCAATGAAAAGTAAATGAATATGAACTTCTTTTTGGTTATTGGTTGGAATGAAAGGAAAGGAAAAAAGAAAAACAAAAACAAATAGAAATGAAAAGTAATCAGCAAGCATATCACATTGTATGTAAATAATTGCGAATTTATTCGCAATTTGGTTGATTTTTTTTTTTTCAATCAGAAAGGAATAAAAAAAAAAAAAAGTGTGCTTGCTTAGGAATAAATGTAATCCATAACTAGCATTCTCAGTTACTAAAATATGACATACCGTAGTCATATTTGCACTTTTTGAGGAACATTTGCAATTGGCAAACACATACATATTCAGGAGAGAACTTATGAAGCAAGCAATGAAGCTAAGGCAATCAATGGCTATTGAAAGATCAATTCTGGTTGATGGGGAGGGAAATGCAATAGTTAGATAGGATATATGGACATTGAATTATAGCGGAGATGTTTTATGAGGAGTTCTAATGTGAATATAGGAGAGACTAGGTTTTAGCCTGGAATAGCTTTTAGCCGGTTTGAAATTATAGCCTTTGCTATTTCTTATTGTGGTCATTTGTCCTTCGTTTTTTAAGTCACTTGAAATTCGTGAGCGAATATGAACAGATGATAGCATCCATCTGTTTTATTTTTAATTTAAATTTAATCATTGATAGTAATCTTAGGAAATGAATGAATGGATAAGTGGACATTTTAAAGCATGACCCTTTCAAAGTTGTAATCGTGGGATATCTGTTGCAATGAATGACCACTATATCTTATGCGGATGAATGTTGTAACTGTTGATATGATTGAAGATGTTCCTGTCTGCTATGGTAGGACAAACTGATAAGGGACTGTCATCTTTTATTAATAATGTTAAGTGCATGCTGCGACATCTATTTCTTTACTCGTACTGCCTGGTAAACACCCTGACACACAACATACACA